GACGGAAGAGATCCACGTGCGGCTCCGTCCCGAGGAAAGCCTCGCAGACGACGATAAAACCAGCGATGTGCAGCACCCCCATCGGGTTGAGATGCTGTAGCTCCAGACCCCACTCATTGAGGAGCCCGCGCAGGAACCCATGCGCGGGGTACCCTAGTCCGCGCTCATGAAAGGTAATGAAAGAAACCACCTCATCGGGATGAGGTTGCTAGAATTCCTCCTTCCCGGGACCCTCCAGTGTGCCACCTCCTGCGGCGGCAGAAACCCCTTCGCGACAAAAGCCTCCAGCACCGACTTCCTCACGGTGGACAACCGCCAGTCTGACATCTTGCTTTCGATCACAAAAAGGATCGGTGAGTTCTTCTCTTCTCCCTCGCTCTCCCCCCTTCTTTCCCAGAAACCTCTGCGGCTCTCAGGGACGCTCATGGCAAGAAGGAAGAGAGAAGGTGGCGACAGATGAAGAATAGGCAAAAGAACGAAATGAAGACCCTCTCCCTGCTCCTACTTAAAGGAAAGGGAACAACGGTTAAGGAAGGATGCGCCAATCGGAGAAGGTAGAACGGCGGAGCGAGAATTTCTCTCTCTTTTCCATTTAATGCAGATGAGACGTGCCCTGCACCGATGAGACGCGTCCTGCTCGATGGAACGGCTCCTGATCAGGCGAGACATGGCCTGGCCATGACCCACCACTACCGCATGATCAACCACTACCACACGATGGGCATAGGAACCAAAGCGCCACCGCACGCGGGCGGCTCCCCTCTTCCCCAGGCCAGGCCTGGGGAGACTAAAAAATGAAATCTCTGTCGGGAGACCAACCAATTCCCTGAGCCGATCGAATCGCTCAGGATAAACACTAAGACACAGGTAGGAAGCGAAGGGATGCCCCATGTGGGCCATGTCGACTCCGTCACGAACGATGAGCACGGATCCCAGTCGGACGTTTTTGACTGAAGCTCTCCGAGCCCCGTCACTCCAGTTGTCAAGGTAAACATTTCCAAAACCCCCTCTATTTCTTTATAAATCATTCATACATCCATACGCGCATTTCATTCCATACGCCCGCGCCTCCCGGACGATTCGGGCCCTGAACCGCCCGGGGGCTCGGGAACTAAGCATCGCACGTGCAGCGAAATGCATCAGAACGCTCTGTGTTGCGTCGTGAAACGCCGGTTGCCTCATTCGACATGGGCAACCAACAGAGCCAGGGGAGAAAACTGTAGATGAGCACCGTGTAGCCCTCGCCCGGTCTGGTAGATCGGGTCATCTCAACCTTCTCGTTCGATCCTGAACCTCTCGCCAGGCCCACAAAATCTCCATCGAGGGGAGGCCGTTAGGCCACCCGGGCCGGTCTCCGGAATAACCTAGGCATCTACCGGGTTGCAGGTAAAGGAGTAGTGGAATGTAACAAGAGGGCTATGCCGACCCCATCACGAACGACGGACCCGGATTCCACTCAATCACACCTGTTAGCGAACTCACCGAGCTAGTCTTCGAGCCCGAGTGATCAGGACAGGCGATGAAACTCAGCCCCTCTGGTTGTGAGGAACCGAGGATGGGGTAACGCACAAGACTCACATCGACCACCCCAAAAGGCCCGATAGGGCTCGGGGGCTCAAGATAAACGCTAAGGACGGCGACCTCGAACTCATCAGATCCACAACTCTGACTCGCCCGGTCCCACGGCGCGCACCGACGCCAAGATCCGCGAGCATCGCCTCGTCCAATCTTTAACCAAACTAACTACGCTTCGGCTTCAAACAGCTTCACTTCCGACCGCCCTCCAATAAACCCTGGGACCGCGACTCCTAAACTCACGTAACGGCTTCACTTCCGACTGCGCTCCAATAAAACCTGGGACCACGACTCCTAAACTCGCTTAATGGCTTCAAAACGGCTTCACTTCCGACTGCGCTCCAATAGCCCTAGGACCGCGACTCCTAAACTCGCGTAACGACTTCACTTCTGACTCCACTCCCAGGATCCGCAAGCTCTGGCTCGTCAGATTCCTAAACTAACCAAACTAACTCTCCTGATCCATGGCGCGCACCGACGCCTGGGTCCGTTCGTAGCTCCACCTCGCCCGATCCCACGGCGCGCATCGACACCGAAGATTAGTGAGCTCTAACACGTTCGAACCGAGCTATCTCCATCCGTGGCGCGCACCGTCGCCAGGATTTATCCTGAACTAACCTTCTCACCCGATCCACGGCGCGCACCGACGTCGGGATCAGTAAGTTCTGTCTCATCCCCACGCCTAAAAACCGCCTCGGCTGCGCAACGACGCCGTGGTTAAACAAAATTCTGTCTCAAACTAAAAACATGCACACATGCCCGCCGAAACAACACCCCCTGACGGTTCTGCCCGAACCGCCCGGGGGCTCGAGGGGCTACACCCGCCAACACGATAGAAAAACCACCCCCACTGACAACGCAGAAAACCCCCCTAGCCGGTTCTGCCCGAACCGCCCGGGGGCTTGGGGGCTACACCCGCGGGTGCGCTCACGCACACCAGCTGTCAAGACAAAAAATCCCCCGGACGATTCGGCTCAAATCGCCCGGGGGCTCCTATCAGGTTCATAAACCTGGGGTCCCTCGGGGACTGGCTTCCATGCCAGGGCTCGCCCCAGGAAAAAAGCATGTAGTCCATGGGCTAGCCCAAGAGTCTAAAAACATGATGGGCCAGAAGGACATTCCAGTCCCCGACCGGAAGGTCTACTCGAAAGAACAAAACATCCGCTCGTCAACTTCTTCGGCCCACCTCTCTGACCGGAGCTCTCGCTTCGGACACCAGCCGCCTCCAGGCGGTCTCTCCGATCGAAAAGGCCTGGTCTAAAACGTTGCTTCCTACTCTGACCCAGCGTCTCCGACCGGGGACCCCGTAGGAAGCCTGCTTACCGCTCTTCTCTGACTGGCACGGCCAGGACCGACTGGGGCCATCCGACCGGGGACGCCCGCTCGGAAGGAACCAGGGGCGAACGGAGAAGGCAGCGCACAAGTCAAACCACGATACCGAGACCATACCCTGTACGTCTACAGGAACAGTACTCCACAACCGCCCTAGCACAAACAGTATTGTAGGCGCTGACATTTGCGTCTACAGTATTGTAGGCACCGTTGAGCTCCCATACAGCAAAAAGCCCCGCACGTGCCTCTGCACATCAATAGTATTGTGAGCGCCAGGGTTCACCATACCTGATACACGTGGTAGGGCTCCTCACATACCAACAATATTTTACCGGTACCGACATCCACCCTTCCTGAAGAAGCCAACACAACCTCCCATGTGCACCTGACATTCTACAGTGACGTCAACAATATTGTGAACGCCTACCATCATCACTGTCCTCATTGACGTGGGCGACAAGGCTTAGTAACATCCGTACTCTCTCCCTCTCACCTGTAAAGTCGTTCCCTTCTTCTATAAAAGGGGATGCGCTTCCTCTAACGAAGAAGGTCGACTTCTTGAAGCTCAGATTCACTAGATCGATAGCTCATAACCCCTCAAGCACACGCTTAGACTCCTAGCTCATAGCGGAGTTTCGGTCGCCCTTGGCCCTTCCGGTCGGACCCGACCGAGCCTCTCGTACACCCCTCCTTTCTCTTTCTCGTTTGTAACCCCACTACAGACTTCGAGCACCTGGGCTTAGGAATAAAGTCATCGACCGACCTAGACTGGACGTAGGGCACGTTGCCTGAACCAGTATAAATCATGTGTCATTAAGTGCTAGGCCACCTCCTATCATAACGTACAGCAAAACTACAAGTTGATCACTTTCTGTACCGACACCTATGGTGACTTTGTGAATTTCAAGATCTGTCGGCCCAGTCATTTGGAGGTGCTCATAGAAGTAGGGATTGTGTATGTGTGTTCATAGGGGTGAGTGTGCGTGCGTGTTGTGAATGTCTACGTTGTACTGTGTAATTTAAAAAAAAGAAAAAAAATACTCCCTCCATAAAAAATATAAATATCTTTTTACGAGAAGTCAAACAATCTCAAGTTTGACTAAATATTTATGACATGTAACTAATATCACTGGATTAATTGTAAAATATATTTTGATAATAAACCTATTTGAAGATACAAATGTTGATGAATTTTCTTTTAAAAGGCTCAATGTTTAGCTTTTGCTATTTGAATTTGTGCCTTGTGCTCAGGAAATTGTTAGGGGCCGTTTGGATCCCTTTATTTTGGAGAAATTAAAACCTACTTAATGAATTAGGCTATTTGGAGAATTTGATGTTCCATAACTTTTCTAAGCTCACAAATAAACCTATCTCAAATTCATAGGGTGAAAGATAAAAATTGATTCTATATATCACTGTGCTATAATTCTACTCTCCAACTTATAGCATACTCTTCAACTGACTTCACTATAATAGAAATACAATATATATGTATGTTCGTTGTATGTCTAACAATAAATATACAATATATTTCATATATAACTATATTAGCTTCATTAATCTATGTCTAATAAATTGTATTACCTCAACCCCAAATTATAAGACGTTTGATCTTTTTGACTTAAGTTTGATCACTCGTCTTATTTAAAAAATTTATGCAAACATAGTCAATTTTAATTTATTTTTGAAGAACTTTTATTAATAAAGGAAGCAACAACAAAAAAAAATATTTTATATAAATTTTTAAATAAGATAAGTGGTCAAACTTGATGTCAGAAAAGTCAAATGTCTTATAATTTTGGATGGAGAAAGTAATTTTTAGAATGAATTTAATTTTGAGGATCCAAACGGGAGCTTTTTACTGTTTTTGTTTTTTCAGCCAAAAACTGAAACTTTTAATTCTGTTTGGTCGCGCGCACGCAGAGGCCGGAAAACAACATCAAACTGACTCTTGCTATTAATTATTATGGAACCAAATTGCCACGTCAGCCACACACCCATAGACCGGTTCCACGCCACCAATCTGCCTTTTCCGCCTAATCCCTCCCAGAACCCTAGCTCCCGCCGCCGGCCGGTCCCTCCCGTGGCTCGGAATGGCCGGCGCCGCCGCGCTCCGGCGATCCGCTCGCCGAATTTCCCGGCACCTCGCCGCTGCCCCCGCGTTCTGCCGCAGTGCGCTCCAGCAGCCCGAGCGCCTCCTGTCGTCGCAGGCGTCGCCGGAGCACGGCGCGCGCGGCGCGGTGTCCGGGTCGGAGCTGGCGCTGTACCCGCCGGAGCGGGTCCGGAACTTCTCGATCATCGCGCACGTCGACCACGGCAAGTCGACGCTGGCCGACCGGCTGCTGGAGCTCACCGGCACCATCCAGAAGGGACATGGGCAGCCCCAGTACCTCGACAAGCTGCAAGTGCGACGCTAATTCTTCCCGCTCACTCTTCTTCTTGTTCGATAAGTTAGAGAAATAAGTAAAATGTTGGCCCTTTACCGCTCAACTATCATATGGTGAGAGGTGATCAGTCAGTTAGGCCACCATTTCCATACTGTTTTCGTGATCAGATTCTGGAACTGCATTGATGTCTGAATTAGTTTTATAAATAGTTGTTACGTTTTGGCCTTTTGAGATTTTACCATTGCACTGCCAGTAAGTGTCAAGGTCTATTTGTGGGCACAATGTTACGCTAATTCCATATCAGTTGATGCCTATACTGCTAGTAGCTTCATGACTGAAACTTCTAACAATTTCTGTCCACATTCTGTGACTTTGTATCCTGTAGTTACTGTATTTATCTTACCTACAGTATAAACTCTTATTACCTCCGGTCACAAAAACTTGATGTTTAGGACAAGATTGAAGATTGGTCAAATCTTTAAAACTACAAACATCAATTAGAATTACATTATTTATTTTGGAAGCGTCCAAGTTAAATGCCAAATGTCTTATACATTTGACAAGATTTGGTCAGCTTGTTTTCAAAATACTTGGCGAAATCTCTTATATTGAAAGATTTTAAGAATATATTCTAGAAGAAATTAGTAGTCAAAGATACACATTGAAGACCATGCAAAGTCAAATGTGTTAAGTATTTGTGACCTGAGTGAGTATAACAGTTATTAATATGAGAAGCCATTTTTAGCATGCCAGCTCATCTGAGGGTTATCAGATCCCAAAAATGAATAGTTCCATTTTCTTTATTCCAAAGAATGCAAATAGAGTGGCTGTATTCATCTTTTTAACTCTCAGAATTTGAGATAGTACAACTTTTTAGGTTGTAATATTATGTGATTTCAACTACATTTAATGAGTGTTTATTTTCACAACCTCAACTTCCTTTTCCTTATACTCTGATTTGGGCATTACTTTCAGAAAACTGCTTTGATATTGGATCAGTCCTTGATGTCTAGTTTGATATTGTGTCTTCTGTTGTAACATTTATTGACGTGGGGACCAGGTTGAGAGAGAAAGGGGGATTACGGTCAAAGCACAAACAGCAACCATGTTCTACAGGCACATTACTGCATCTCAGGACTCAGATACGCCAAGATATTTGCTTAATCTGATTGATACGCCAGGCCATGTGGATTTCAGCTATGAGGTATCCAGGTCCCTTGCAGCTTGCCAGGGCGCTCTTTTAGTAGTTGACGCAGCACAAGGAGTACAAGCTCAAACAATAGCAAACTTTTACCTTGCATTCGAATCAAATTTGAGCATCATTCCTGTGATTAACAAGATTGATCAGCCGACTGCTGATCCAGATAATGTAAAGGATCAATTGAAGAGGTTATTTGACATTGATCCAAGTGAAGCTCTGCTTACTTCTGCCAAGACTGGTAAAGGCCTTGAACAGGTATTGCCTGCTGTTATTGAACGCATACCTTCCCCACCCGGGAAATGTGATGCACCTGTACGGATGTTGCTTTTGGATTCCTACTATGATGAATACAAAGGAGTGATTTGCCACGTTGCTGTTGTTGATGGTGCTCTGCGTAAAGGTGATAAGATTGCTTCGGCTGCAACTGGCCGTGCATATGAAGTTCTTGACCTCGGCATTATGCACCCTGAGCTTACACCTACTGGAGTTCTCTACACTGGACAAGTTGGATATGTTATTAGTGGAATGCGTTCAACTAAAGAAGCACGCATTGGTGATACCCTTCACCAGGCAAAGAGTACTGTCGAGCCACTTCCTGGTATGGAATCCCACTCTAAACATTTTTATAGTCTCGTCTGTATTTTTCACTTCTTTATTTTGTCTGATTTAGCCTGAAAAGAACAGGCATGATCTATTGCAGTCCCATAGCATTGTTCCATATCCCCTTTTTTTAGTTTTTGGTTGCATGCGACATCATACAGAATAGTCTTTCAGGTTTCAAGCCTGCGAAACACATGGTCTTCTCTGGTCTCTATCCTGCTGATGGTTCTGACTTTGAAGCTCTTAACCATGCGATTGAGAAACTAACATGTAATGATGCCAGTGTCTCTGTTACAAAGGAGACAAGCAATGCACTTGGCATGGGATTCAGGTACCACCGTACCAGATTTTCTACATGTGAACTAGTTCGTTTCTGTTGTTTTCATTACACTGAGTCTGGGACTTGCTGTAATCTGTTTTTTATTTTTTTATTACTACTTTACAGATGTGGCTTCCTAGGATTGCTACACATGGATGTATTCCATCAACGGCTTGAGCAAGTATAGTTTTTTCGCATAATTTTGATGTGTTGATTTTTTACTGTTGCATAATTTGTACTCAGGACACACAATACATCAATTGATGTTGAAAAATTAATTAAAGAGCTTCATTCCTAATTATTATGCTAGTATCTCAAGGAAATTTGTAACTTTGAGGTGCTGCCTTTAGAAGGATGAAATATTTTTTGCAGAAAAAACTAGAGAATATCTTTTTTCATAAGGTTAACGGTCCTATATATTTTACTATTTTAAGTACGTTGGTTACCTGTGTCAGCCTAGAAACTCTTCCATTCATTTGAACATATGGGGGGGGGATTGGAATATGATGGCAAAAAAGAGGAAGTTATAAGATGTGATATAGTGTACAAAATTTGTGTGACCTTTAAATTGCCTTGAGGTTCTGATTGTCACTGCGTTTATTTAGGAATATGGAGCTCAAGTCATATCGACCATACCAACAGTACCTTATATTTTTGAATATGGTGATGGAAGGTGTGCACTCACAATTGTATTTGCTACCTCCGTTTTCTGGTAGGATACTAAAACTTTTTAGGTTATTTTATCAGCAAGGTGCAAGTTGAGAACCCTGCTGCTTTGGCTTCGAATCCTGGAAAGCGTGTAGCAGCCTGTTGGGAGCCCACAGTTATTGCAACAATCATTATCCCTAGTGAGTAAGACCCGCTTCCTTTCTCACCTGTTTTCTACAATATTTTTTTCAATATTTGAGCATTACAAGCAGAAATTTGTTATCATGCTCAATCATCTTTTCAGGTATGTTGGTCCTGTCATTATGCTTTGTTCAGAAAGAAGGGGCGAACAGCTAGAATATACATTTATCGATGCGTAAACCTTTTTTGCTTTCAAATCTCTCAGTTTTGTTAAGTGCTCGTCGATTCTTGGCTTTTTATTCATATGGCTATTTTTGATGCAGCCAAAGGGCTCTGTTGAAGTACCGGTTACCATTGAAGGAGATAATTGTGGACTTCTACAATGAGTTGAAGGGCATTACGTCTGGCTATGCTACTTTTGACTATGAAGATTCTGAGTAAGTCCTATTGTGAATGCAATAACAAGGCATGGTCGGGCTACACCTTTTTTTATTTCTGGAATTTACACATGAGAAAAATATCATGTTTTTATTTCACTTCCTCATATGCTTTCGTCATTATTATTATTATTTATTTCCAGTCCCTTATATTCTGAAGGTGTTAGTACACCTTCCTGAATGGGGTTTCTTTTTCGAATCTAGCCTATGACTAGTAATTACATACACAGAGAGCACTTGTCTTGTGTATACAAGGTTTTCGAAACATTCTTTTGATCAGACCTGGGATTGTTTGACTTATTAAGTAATGCATCCATCATCAATTTTGTGAAAATTACTCTTTAAGTGGCTTGCAAAAATCTGTTCCAAAGTATAATCGATGATATGAAGAGAAAAATATACCATAAATTTATGTAGCTTATCATTAGTTTATTCCCCTTTTCTCTTTGACAGATACCAACAATCTGAGCTAGTTAAGATGGACATCCTTCTTAATGGTCAACCTGTTGATGCTATGGCAACTATAGTGCATAACCAGAAGGCTCAGCGGGTTGGAAAGGAATTAGTGGAGAAGCTCAAGAAATTTATAGAAAGGTATTCATCAACCTCCTTTTCTTGAACATGTGTACTGTGCTTGAGATATGAGCATCTGTTTAAGTACATTACTTTTGGGTCAATATTAGTTACACTACAAAAGTGCAATTAGCTGCAAAGGGAATGGACTTGCAAACGAGAATAAACATTAGAGCAATTTTTTTGGTGACTTTTGCAAGGCTTAGAGCAGAATTTTGCTATAGGCTCATGTTGAATTGCGACATGATTTACATTTGGTGCCGCCTAACATAATTTATTTCATTCTTTTCATGCAGGCAAATGTTTGAGATCACAATACAAGCAGCAATTGGTTCAAAGGTTATTGCAAGGGAAACGTAAGATCTTCGAAGCTGCTATTAGTTTTCTGAAGTATATTCTACTTTTGGCATTGTTATTTGGTTGAAGATTATTCTTTATATCAAACTGCTTTGAAATTGTTATGTACATTTAACTGAATCTACGACAGCGCTGCTATCCATTCATCCAGAACATTTAAGACAGTAGTCTTGACTCTTGAGCATTTTCTGTAATAAACTAACAAAATTTCTAGCAACTAAGGGCCTGTTTGGATGGACTAGGACTAGTTGTTAGTCTGGACTGGGACTAGACCTAGTTATTAGTTGGCTAATAGTTAGCTGGCTAAAAATTAGTCCTGTGCTGTTTGGATCCTAGGACTAATGTATGGTACTATTACTACGCAAAGACCTTTGTGCCCCTTGCCTACCTGCTGTTATTCCCAAGCAAAGACTAAGGAGGGGTATTTTTGACTTTTTTGAGGTTGGTTGCACCTATTAGTCCCAATTAGCTTGGTTTTGCCAACTAGTGGACTAACAACTAGTTGCGGCCTGAGCTAAAGTTTAGTCCACCCATTGGCTCACCTGTTTGGATCCTTATGGACTATAAATTTGTCAAAAAGCCCTGTTTGGATGGACTAGGACTAACAATAGTCCTATCAGCTCCTATCTATGGACTAATGGATTAACAACTAAGTCTATGACTAGTGGACTGACAATTAGTCTGCTTGTTTGGATCCTTAGAGACTAAAAATTAGTTAACTAGTTGTTAGTCGTATGGATCCAAACAGGGCCAGGTGGAAAGGGTTTCAAAACTTTCCTACTAAACCTTTCTGTTGGCCTAAAAGATGTACCTGTTCAGTTAATATAAAATATTAAAATTACTACCAATCAGCCTTGGGAAATTGCGCATTTGAGAAAAAGAAAGCCTTGGGAAATCATCTCCAGTCTTACCCTATCTGGTTGCAGCATATCTGAAAGGTTTAGCTTTCAACCTGCAGGAAGTTGGAAGCTGTCCTAGTTTTAGCGGTATTGTCCTTTGGCACAGTATGAATAAATAAATACATTGTTCATTATCAGGTTAACTAACTGTATCTGAAAAGCCATGTAGATGGGAGGTAAAGAGTTGAATAATATGTAAATACATTGTTCATTATCAGGTTAACTAAGTAACTAACTGTATCTGAAAAGCCATGTAGATGGGAGGTAAAGAGTTGAATAATATGTTGCTGGCACACAGGTTTTGCTTATATGCTCTCTTTGACCATTTTCAGCCTGTCAGCAATGAGGAAGAATGTTCTGGCCAAGTGCTATGGTGGTGACATTACTCGGAAGAAGAAGTTGCTAGAGAAGCAAAAGGAAGGCAAAAAGCGCATGAAACGTGTGGGATCTGTCGACATTCCTCAGGAAGCATTTCATGAGCTACTGAAGGTCTCCAATTCAAAATAGATGGGATCCACTGCAATGGTAGTTTTTGTAGCTGTCCTAATTTTAAAAGTAGCTGTGTGGTGATGGCTAGCAGCCTCTTCTAGTCGTCTTCTGACAGGTGAGTTATTTATCTGTTCTGCAAATCATTATGTTAAACCGTCAGTAGTTTCGAGAGTTGAATCTCATGAGTTATCTCCTGTCACAGGTCCTGGCAGAATTATTCCATTGAGTACATAATGGCACCTGCGCCTGCTAAATTTTTTTCCAGGGACCGAAAAGGCCGAAGCACTGCAGCCTTGTCCTGCTGACCTATGAGCCTTGTGCTGGAAGTTGTTCCTCCTGTGGACTGTGGTGATATACACAAGGCTTCTCAGCTGGTGCCAACGAATTTCCCATAGCAACACAGTAGAGCCGCCATCATTGTATTTGTTTATTGATTGATCGAGAACCATCCTTGAGCACCTTGCTGAACACAGTTTTCGCTGCTGACTTGATAATCTGCCGTGTCACGTTACACCCCATTTTGTCTTAGATAATGTTTTGGAGCAAAAACAATAGATCATACACCTCAATTGGTCACTGAAACAGTGTGGTACATGTAATAAAAGGAGTTGAATTGAATAAAGATATCTCAGGTTTTTGGAGTTTCGGGCGATCGTGCCCGCCTTGGTTGTCCTTTTCATCCTGAAGTGAACGCGCCCCTTGTGGCTGAGAGCATCGTCTAGCTCCAAACAAATAATTTTTTTTGCACCAGCCGGGAATCGAACCCGGGTCTGTACCGTGGCAGGGTACTATTCTACCACTAGACCACTGGTGCTATTGTGTTTTGTTTTGACGTGACGCATCTGTGTGTTATCGCAAAAGTGCAAAACAGGCTAGAGGCCATCATAACCAGCGACTACAATTTATAACAGCATCGTTACCTAAAATAGACTACCTAAAACTCTATTTGGATAGCCATTCATTTTCATACTACCTAAATTTTGGTCTCAACCCCAGTAGTACTGCCTAAAACTGACTACCATTTTCGTCCTCCTAGAGAATGACATGTGGGGTCCTACATGTCATCCTCTTCCCTATCTCCCCATCGTAGATGAACTCGGCCATGGCGGAGGAGGGGCACCTGCAGGGGAGGGGCGCGTCGGACGGGGTCGCACAGGCCGCCGGCGATGTACGAGGAGATTCCAACCCGCCGAAGCGGATCTGGTTGGCTCGCCAAGGTGGAGATGCGCTCGGTGGATGGCACATTCGTGGCTGCTCCATGAGCCGTCTGTGGTGGGGCGCTTCGGGTCGGTGTTGGCGTCGAGGCTTGGCGCAGGCTCCTGACAGCGGACGGTGCGGCGGCTCGGACGGCGGGTTGGAGAGGTGGCTCGACCGCAGATCCGGCAGAGAAGGGCCGACAGCAGATCCGGCACGTTGGACTTCCTGCGCCGGCGTCGGGCTCTCCTGCGGCGCGGCGGCGGCTTCCTGCAGCGGCGGCGGCGGGCTCCCTGCGTCGGGCTCAGGCGCGCGGGGAAGAAACAAGCGAACGAGAAATAGGTAGTCTCTGGTGGTCCAACAGGAATGGGTGGTGGGAGGGGGATTTGGGTAGGCAACAAATTTGTTAGGTCTAGTAGGTAGTTTGCTAGAGTTGGTTTTTTTACCCTCACTACCTAAATTAGGGATAGATAGTCTGTTTGGATAGTCTGCTGGAGATGCTCTAAGGCACTTAACTTGACTCCAGTTCACTTTCTTGCCGATTCACATCTGTGTAGAACCACTCACCAAAATCACATCAGAGACAGTAAAAAGTTCTTCTGGCAGAACGTAATTTGCAGATTTAGAGTACCAAGAACCCTAATAGTTGACAATGGAAAACAATTCGACTCGGACAACTTCAAAGAATTCTGCAAGAGTATAGGTACCAAGGTTGCCTTCGCCTCAGTCTACCACCCAGAATCAAACGGAGCAGTGGAAAGAGCTAACAGAGTGATATTCTCAGCAATAGCAAAGACTCTATTCAACCTTCGCAAAGGCAAATGGGTAGAGGAACTACCGAAGGTAGTATGGTCCCATAACACTGCAGCCTCTAGAACAACAGGCTTCACACCGTTCAAACTCTTGTACGGCGAAGAAGCAATGTTGCCCGAAGAAGCCAAGCATCAGAGCCTCCGTGTCATAAAACAGGCACTGACAGAAGATGAAGAATACTCTAAAGAAACAATTGAGGGCACAAGACTGGAAGTAGTTTAAAACATTACAAAATACCAAGACCAAACCAAAAAATGGAGAGACAACAAAGTGATCAGGAAAACATACAAGATGGAGACCTAGTCCTCAGAAGGAGACCTAATGCTGAAAATGTTGGAAAGCTCCAACCAAAATGGGAAGGCCCTTATTTGGCGAAGGCCGCCGGAAGACCCGGGTCATTCTACCTGACCGACGGCGAAGGCAGAACAACAACGCATAACTGGAACATTGATAGTTTGCGTAGGTTTTACATCTAAATGTAAAAAGGTGGCCTCCGCGGAACTATAAGCGAAGGTCACCAAGTTTCTAGTTGTTGTATTTTTATATTTCATGCAAAAGGGCTTGCACTCTTTTCCTCACAAAGGGAGCTCCTAACGGAGGTGAGGTTTTTAATGAGGCAAGTTCCATGTAAAAACCTCTAAAAATATAAAGAGGAATCCCCCCCCAAAAATACCATAAAAGGCAAAGGTCGAAAGTGGCTAGCAATGCAGCCACAATATTCGACGACAGCATTACAACAGAGGACCCTCCAATGCTTTAGACGAAGGCTCTAAAGCATGGAACGACCCCCTCGGCTAAAGTAGCCTGCAACCTTGAGAAAGACCTATCCATATTCAGGCTTCAAGGATTTATCAAAACGTCCAAAAAGGCCAAAGCTAACCCGACAAAGACCTACCTTTGACGTAGGCATCAGGGAGAGGCTTATCGTGAACAAGCTTCAGTTAACTGCCAAAATTAATAGCTAAAGTACAATAGCAGTGAAGGCCAAAAGATATGCCAGGTATAGGGAAATCCTAACTTGAAAACATATCCAAGCAATAAACACCGGCCAACCACCAAGAGTTATTAAAATGTGCAACTGTTGCCCATTTCCCTATTCTTCCGGAGGCTTCTTTGTTATAGAGTATGTCCCCTAACGGTTGCGAAGATGGTACTGTAATTTTATGTGCTTGGAAATAGTGCTTCAATTTCCTTAAGGAGATCAACACCGCATATGCTATTTTTTCTATCTCTGTATAGTTCAACTTTACTCCTGATAGGGCTTCTAAGATGTAGTAGATTGTCTACTGAATGACCTTCAACTCTTCTTCTTTCTCTTGGACAAGCACCCCACTGACTGCATGGTCGGAGGCTGCAACATATAACAGCAATGGTGCCTCCGAATCCGACACTGTTACCATGAGTTTGATAGCCAAATAATTTTTGAGTTGCCGAAAGGCTTTTGATTGTTCTGGCCCCCATTCCACTTTATCTCCGCCTCTTAAAGCTTTGAAGAATGGGAGGCTGTGTTCTGCTGACTTTGAGATGAATCTGTTCAGCGCTGCTATTCTTCAGTGAATTTTTGGACTTCCTTTTTGGTTTATGGTTCCACCATTGAAATTATGGCCTTTGTTTTGTCTGGGTTGGCTCTTATGCCTTCGGGTCCTATGATATACCCAAACATTTTACCTCTGCTTACGCCGAAGACACTTTTTTTGGGTTGAGTTTTACCCGTCCTCTCTTAGATTGGTGAAGGTTTCCTTTAAATCTGCTATGTGGTCTCCCTCATCCTTACTCATCACCACAATATCATCAACATAAGCTATGATATTTTTCTACAGCTGGGGGCCGAGGACTGCCTTCGTCAATCTGGCGAAGGTTGATCCAGCGTTTTTCAATCCTTTAGGCATTCTTGTGTAACAATAAGTTCCGAAGGGGTAGTGAAACTTATCTTCTCCTCATCTTCTTTTTTGAGCTAGATCTGGTGATATCCTGAGAAGCAATCCAGGAGAGAAATGCTTGCATCCTGCTGCCTTGTCAACGGAGGTGTCTATTCTTGGTATTGGAAATGGATCTTTCTTACATGCTTTGTTTAGATCTATGAGGTCTATGCACATTCTCGTCTTTCCATTTTTCTTTGGCACCAGTACTACATTCGCCAGCCATTCTGAGTACTTGACCTCTCTGATGATGTTTGCATTTAACAACCTTTGAACTTTGGCTTTTGCTGCTAAAATTCTCTCCTTCGATTTTTTTCTTTGTCGCTGCTTTTTTGGTTTTATTCTGGGGTTGATCTCAAGGGAGTGTTGTATAATGTCCTTGCTGACCCCTTTCAGGTCGGAGGCTGACCAGGCAAAGACGTCTTTGTTTTTGGCTAAGGTTTTTATGAGCTCTGCTTCCTCTTCTTTTGACAGGTTGCCTCCGATAGTGACCTTCCTGTCTAGGACTGTTTCTTCCAATGGGACTGTCTTCGTTTCTTCCTGATTCTTGAGATATGTTTTTCCCTTTGGCATGTCCGGAGGCTCCGTTGAATTAGTTCTAGCTTCTTCGACGGAGTTGATGTTGCGCTGCGACTTGTAGATGTCTCTTTCTATATTTCTTGCTTCCTTCTGGAAGCCATGAACTGTGATGATTATGTGCAAGGCCATCATTTTCATACAAGATAACCCATATGAATGGCTGCATTGAATTTGTTTGCGAACCCTCTTCCGAAGATGGCGTTGTAGGGGTAGTAGAGACCTACTATGTCGAAGGTTACATATTCTATTCTTGCGTTTTCTTGACCTCCGAAGGAGACTAGGAGGGATATTTTTCCTAATGCATCTATCCTTTTCCCTCCAAAACCAATTAGTGGTGAGTCCGAAGGCTGCAACTGACTCCTGCTTAGCTTCATCTGGTCGAAGACATTTACAAAGATAATATCTGCAGAACTTCCAGAATCTATGAGAACCCTATTGATTTCCTATCCTGCAATGTTGGCCTTGATTACCATGGTGTCGGTATGAGGGTAGCTCTCTAGCTGCAAATCTTGT